TTTATTTTATTGTTTATAATATTTAATAATCTTTTGTATAGAAGTGAGTTTAACATGTTAATTACCTGCTGAGGTGGTTCCGGCTCTTACAGGATCTCTAACGTTCTTCTCTGTCCTGCTGGTCTCCGCTGTGTTTGCCCCGCCCCCCCAGCCACGCCCGGCTGCGCTGCATGTGCACCTGTAACCGGTGCACCTTCTGCTTGTGTCAGAACCTGCTGAACTCTGAGCTGCTGCAGAGCATCAGGGCCAAACTCTACGCTGTGGTGCTCAGAAGGTCTCATGGAAACCTTTCCTTCCTCCGTCTCTCTCATCATCATCATCATCATCATCATCTCTCCTTTTTCTCCTGCCTCACTCCCTCTCAGGCTGTTTATGACATCATTTATGACATCATCCCTGTGATGTCAGGATCTTTGTTTAGCTTCTTTTGTTCCAGCTGTATTTCATCTAACAGACATTCCTCATCTTCATCCTTCCTGCTTCTTCACCATCTTCACATTTAAAAGCCTTTTCTTGGTTTTTAGTCGTTTCCTCTGTTCCTATTTCTTCTTCTCTCACTATTTTTATTTTTACATTTTGAAGTTTAAAATCAGATTTAAGGAGAAGGACTCTGATCCAGGTTAGAATCACAGCTTTGGGGCAGATTTCTTTCTTTTTGGCGTCAGATTGAGAAGACGCCGTCTGCGCCGTTTCCTGACTTCCTCTTTATTCCAAGTCTTTACGGAGGAATCAGGATCTCCTGTGTGTGAAAATGAATATTATTTCATCTACTTATGGTGCCTTCAAGTGGCATCGTAATCGTGGTAAATGCCACTGAACGCCCACTCATGATGTCATTTCCTCTGGAAAGCTGTGATGATATCTGGAATGTTGAGGCTTTGACCTTTTCAACATGGCGGAGAGCAGAGAAACTCCTCGCTTTGGTGAAAACGTTTCCTCCTAATGTCCAAATAGATTCGTTTAAAATATATAATTTTAGCTTCAGCAGGAATCTTCTCTTGTTTTCTTTCATGATTAAACTGAATCGGTTTGGTTTTATGGGAGATTAGATTGTTTTCATAGTTTTCTCATATTTACTGAAAATAACGACCAACAAAGATAAACAGATTATTTTAAATTAGTTGGTAAGAAAAGAAAATTAATATTAGAAGCAGAGGAGATGTGAGATTATTAAAAAGGATTTTAACGAAGACCAACATTTAAAACCAGCTTAATAAACCAGCGTCTGTCTGTAGATCATTAGCTCAGATCTCAGAGGAAGCAGCAGGAACTAATTCTCTCTATTTCCACGGCTCTACGTCTTTCTTTCTATTTGCACGGCTCTATGTTTTTCTCTCTATTTCCACGGCTCTACGTCTGTCTCTCTATTTCCACGGCTCTATGTCTCTCTATTTCCACAGCTCTACGTCTTTCTCTCTATTTGCACGGCTCTATGTTTTTCTCTCTATTTCCACGGCTCTACATCTGTCTCTCTATTTCCACGGCTCTATGTCTCTCTATTTCCACGGCTCTACGTCTTTCTCTCTATTTGCACGGCTCTACGTCTTTCTCTCTATTTCCACGGCTCTACGTCTTTCTTTCTATTTGCACGGCTCTATGTTTTTCTCTCTATTTCCACGGCTCTACGTCTTTCTCTCTATATGCACGGCTCTACGTCGTTCTCTCTATATGCACAGCTCCATGTCTTTCTCTCTATTTGCACGGCTCTACGTCTTTCTCTCTATTTGCACGGCTCTATGTCTTTCTCTCTATTTCAATGGCTCTATGTCTTTCTCTCTTTTTGCACGGCTCTATGACTTTCTCTCTATTTGCATGGCTCTATGTCTTTCTATTTGCACGGCTCTATGTCTTTCTCTCTGTTTGCACGGCTCTATGTCTCTCTGTTTGCACGGCTCTATGTCTCTCTGTTTGCACGGCTCTATGTCTTTCTATTTGCACGGCTCTATGTCTCTCTATTTGCACAGCTCTATGTCTCTCTATTTGCACGGCTCTACGTCTCTCTATTTGCACGGCTCTACGTCTTTCTCCGGTTCCTCTGCGTTTATTTCTTCCTCTCTGCTTCACAGACACATAATCCAGGAGGACCTGAGCAGCGCCACCTTCTGGCTGAGGGCCAGTGTGGGGGCCACGGTGTTTGCAGTGCTGGGCGTCGCTCTGTTCAGGGCGCTGCTGAAGACGCGCTGATCCTCAGCTGCCACCCCTGTTACCATGGTAACCGACGGGTTGGACGATCTGATGCGTTTAGATGATGCTTCCTGTTTGGTTTGTGGGATTAGATGCAATCAAAAACAAACCAACTTATTTTCCTGATTCTTCTCGCCGTTTCTCTTGTAGATACAATATTTATTTTGTAAGAATGTGCTAATTTGATTCATCTGATTAAAAAGTAAAGATGATATATTTATATTTCTATAAAAGTCTAATGAAGCTGCTGCTAAGCAGCATAAAGCTTACAGATTGGTATGAATGAATGATATTATAGCTTCTAGGGTCGTTAAATGCAGCATCTGAACAGATGTTTAATGCAGATGTTTTATTTTCTGCTCGTAGACCAATGCTAACATTTCTCTCTGTTTCTACTGAGTTTCACTTTTTATGCAAAAGAAAAAGACAAACCTCGCTGCTCTTTTTCTGCATTTCTCTGTTTAATTCAACCGTATGCATGTGCTTCTCTACTTAAGGAAATCAGAACACTCTGTTAGCATGCCAGTTTTTGTTTTTTTATTGATAAAACATCAATATTCAGCTGTTTTAAAATTAATATTATTGAGCTTTAAGGGTGGAGAGTTGGTAAAGAACTTCCACCATTTTTCTCATTTCCACTAAAGGCTGTTAAATTGTTGCCGTATGCATCCCTCTGCTCGATGTCCTGAACGTTTGCAATAAATGATGTTCTATAATCTGCTGGGATTAACGCTCTTCTTTCTGCTGCATCATCTAATGAACCAAATCTGCTTCATTATTGTTTGATCATCTGGAATCTGCTCCTTCTTCTGGGGCTGATCTAGAAACCAGTGTTTTATACACAAGGTGGCAGCATTGCTTGAGGAAACGTAGCACACATGCAGCCATGTTGAAGAAATCAGAAGGTAATAAACAGGAACTTCTATTCAATGTATTTCTATAGCTCCAATTCACATCATGTCATCTCAGGTCACTTTCCAGTTCACCAGATCATCCAGTCAGATTGATTCAAAGTTTT